AGATAATTCAAAGTGTTTTTTCTTGCGTATCAAAAGTAAGTTTTTTTAAATTGTCATTTTTTTAAAAAATTCCCATAATTTAAGGATACAAAAATAAAAAAAAGGCAAAATACTGTGACTAAAACGAACAAAATAACCCGCACATAGAAAAAGGGGAGCTTAGACCCTTTTTGGGGCCCGACCTGACCATTTACAAAGTCACACAAACTTTTAAATGGCCAAGCGGCCCAAAGCGTCGTCGTAGCTCCTCCTTCAGTGCGGTTATTTTGAAAGATATCTATATACACTATACTATATATACATATATACTAAACTATACAAAGCAACATAAAATTTTTACACGTCAACACTTTTTTTCCCAGAATTCTATTACTTAAAAACTTAAAAATTTTCCATATCTGCCCATCATTGCCTGACAATAAAATTTTATTTTCTAACACCGTGGGGAACAGTTAAATATGTGCAGGGAAATTGGCACCTGAGGGGTATAAGGTTAGAATATAAGATAATGAACGTATACTGGGAATTTTAGTTTACGGGGTATCGTAAGTGTACGAAAGTATTATGTACTTGAAGTTTGTGGTGTTTTGGGGTGTGGGGTGTGTTTGTGTGTGTGTGTGTGTTTTGTTTGTGTGTGTGTTGTTGTACTCCCTAGTGTACTCACCGTGTGGTGTGGGTGGTGTGTGTGTGTGTACCCACCATTGTCTCACCTATTTTACTCACCTGTGTGTGTTGTGTGTGTGTGTGTGGGGGTGTGTGTGGGGTGGTGGTGTGGTGTGGGGTAGACCACATCAAACAGATAAAAGCATATTTTGGGGACATATTTGGACTAATTACAACACTTATTAGCTAAGTAAGTAAAAACAAAAGAAATTAACATAAACACTTTAAAACAAAATCAAGTCCGAGATTTTACTCATAACCTCAGCTTTGGGCCCAGTTTTTGGCGCTCAGTTCCCTCGGCTGGGCTACGTTCCAGGGTGTTTGGGGGGGTGTAATAACAGGGCACGATTTCTGTGGGGTTCCCTCCTTAATTCCATCCACCTGGACAGTCCGGCATAGACCAGGAGACAAACCAAGTTTTCCATCCAGCAAGGTTTACAGGGGGGGGGCCAACACCTGCGAACCTGGGGACTGAGAAAGGAAGTTCACTGAGGGGGCCCCAGATGGTCTTCTTAGACTGGGAAATACGGAACAAACACACACACCACACACACACCACACACACACACACACACACCACACCACCACAAACCCCCCACCCCCAGTCCCCATACCCGTCACCACCTCAAAAAACCCCCCCCACCCGCCATCCCCCTCACTCCCAATTCATCACATTCACCACCAGCCATCACCCTCACCACCACCATCACCCACACCATAGTCCACACCCTCACCACCATCCATCACACAAAAGGGGAAATGTGGAAGGAATTCTCGAGGGACACAATGGACTTTGGAAACACATCCTTCTCCTCCCTACCTCCACCGTCATTTTATCACACCCACCACCAGCCCCTCACCCTCACCCCAGTCCTCGCCCCACCACCATCCATTCCCGCAAGGGAAAGGGGGGAAGGGAGTTCATCTGAGGGGGGCACAGATAGACTTTTGGAAAAACCCGCCTCACCCCCCCCACCTCCTCACCCTCACCAACAAACCCCAACCCCCACCCCACCCTCCCCTCACCACCAAACCTCACCCTCCTCACCAGTCCATCACTCCCCACCATCCACCCCTCACCACCCGACCCATCACACCACCAGTCCATCACCCCAACCCCCATCCATCACCACAAGGGAAGTGTGGGGAAAGGGGGTTCATGTGGGGGGGGACACAGTGGGTTCTAAAACACAGTCCTTTCCCCCCCACCATCCACCCAGTCCCCCCCTCACCGTCATCCCCCACCCCCCCACCACCCGCCCATCCCCTCCCCCATTCATACCCCCCCCCACAATCAAAAAGGGAATGTAGAAGGGGGCATCTGAGGGGACACGTGGACTTCTGAAAACACAGTCCTTCATCCCCCCCACCCGTCCCCCACCAGTCCATCCCCTCACCGTCGTCCATCAAAACCCCACCACCAGCCCATCACCCCCACCACCATCCATACCCTCACCCCCAGTCCACACCCCAAGGGGATGGGAAGGGGGTTTTTCTGAGGGCACAGATGGATTCTGGAAAAACAGTCCTTTATTTCCCACCAGTCCATCACCCTCCCAACAGACAAATTTCCCTCACCACCACCCATCACCCTCACTACCAACCATCACCCTCCTCACCCTCCTCCCTCCTTCCGTCCTCACCCCCCCCCCAGTCCCCTCCCCTCCCCACTAGTCGATCCCTCTCGTCACCCCCACCCACACCACCAATCCATCACCCCCACCAGTCCACACCAAATACCGTACAAACGCCCTCACCACCATCCATCACCCTCACCACCAGTCCTTCCCCCCCCCACCCTCCATAACCCCACCACCCGTCCCTCACCCTCCAAAACCCTCCATACCAGCAAAGAAAGTGTGGAAGGGAGTTCATTGAGGGACCAGATGGCTTTGGGAAAAACAGTCCTTCCCTTTCCCCCCCCATCCATCACCCCACCGCAGTCCCCTCATCCTTACCACCGTCCATCTCCCCCACCACCCGTTATCACCCCACCCACATCGACACCCTCACCACCAGTCCATCACCCTCACTCATCCATCACAGACACCACCATCCTCACCCACCCACCAGTCCCAAACCCCCCCAATATCAATCACCCTCACCACCTCCCCTCACCCTCACCGTCAGCCATACCCTCCCCACCAGTCAATCAAACTACACCAAAACATCACCCACACCACCCTTCTCACCCACAAAACCTTCCATCACCCCCACCCCCGTCTATGATCCTCATCAACAGTCCTTCACCCTAACCACCAGTCCCCTTCCCCCCCCAAAAGTCCATACCCCCACCCCCAGTCCATCACTCACCCCCAAATCCCTACCCCCACCACCCGAAAATACCTTTACACTATCCCCCACCCTCACCACAGTCCCCACCAGCAAGGGGAAATGTGGAAGGGAGCTCATCGGTGGACACAGATGGATTCTGGAAACACAGTCCTTCCCCTCCCCCCAGTCCATCACCCCACCACTTTCCCTCACCTTTCACCACCATCCCTCACCCACCCACCGTGATCACCCTCACCACCATATATCACCCAAACCACTAGCCATCACCCCCACCCCCGATCCATCACCCTCTCACCAGACCATCACCCCCCCCACCGTCCATCAACCACAAACCCAAACCCTCACCCACACCCCACCCTCACCCCAATACCAGTCCATGACCCTCACCACCAAACCCCCACCCCACCCCCAGTCCATCACCCTCCCCACCCGATTCATCACCCTCACCCCCTACATCACCCTCACCACCAGTCCTTTATCTCACCACAACACACACCAGCAAGGGAAGTGGGGAAAGGGGGTACTGAAGGGGCACAGTGGGCTTCCGGGAAAAAAAAGTCCCTTTACCCTCCTAACCCGTCCATCACCTTACCACCGCACATCACCCCCACCCCCAGTCCCTCATCCCACTGTCGATCACCCTCACCCCCAGTCCATCACCCTCACCCTCAGTCCTCACCCCACCACAGTCCCTCCCCCACCACGGTACATCACTCTCATACCAGTCCATACCAAAACCCACCCGCCCCTCACCCACACCACCCGCCACACCCCCACCACCAGGGGCCCCTCACCCCCCACCCCCATCCCCTTACCCCCCCCATATGATCACCCTCCCACCGCCATCCCCCTCACCGTCAAAAACCCTCCCCACACCAATCCACCCCTCACCCCGAGCCCTCACACTCACCCGATCAAACTCCTCATACCAGTTCATCATCCCACCACCAGTCCATCACAAAAAACCAAAAGTCCACACCCTCCCACCGTCTATCACACTCCCACCATCTATCACACTCACCACACCAAACACCAGCAAGGGAAGTAGGGGTTTATCGAGAGGACACGATGACTTCGGAAACACATCCCTTTACCCCCCCACCATCCCCCCCAGTCCACCCCCCCCTTTCCATCACCCTCACCACCATCCATCACCCTCACCACCCTCCCCACCCTCCGACCAGTCCATCACCCCCACCACCCTCCCCTCACCCCCACCCCCACCACACCCTCACCCCCAGTCCTCACCCCACCACCAGCCCCTACCCTCACCCCCAGTCCATCACCCCACCACCATCCTCACCCTCACCCCCACCATCCCCTCACCACCAAACCCCACCCCACCACCAGTCCCCAAACCCCTACCACCAGTCCCCTACACCCCACCAGTCCATCACCCTCACCCCCAGTCCCTCACCCTCACCCCGTCCATCACCAGAAGGGAATGTGGAAGGGGGTTCTCTGAGGGGGACCAGATGGGGCTTCCGGAAACACAGTCCTTCCCCCCTCCTTACCAGTCCATCACACTCACCACCATCCATAACCCCCCGACCGCAGTCCCTCACCCCCATCAAAAGGGCCTCACCTCACCACGAGTCCATCCCCCCCACCAAACCCCTCACCCACACCACAAGTCCATCACCCTCACCCAAATCCTCACGTCACCACCGTCCATCACCCTCACCACAAATCCCCCCTCAACCACCATACTTTTACCTCCCGTCCCCACCCAACCACTAGTCCCTCACTCTCACCACCACCATCACCCCCCACCACCACCCATCACCCTCACCACCAGCCCATCACCCTCACCCCCCCCCATCACCCTCACCCCCAGCCCACACCCCCACAACCAACATCCGGAACATGTCCCCTTTACCCTCCCCCCATCCCCCAAACCACAACCAATCCATCACCCACACCAACATCCATCACGCACACCCCCAGTCCTCACCCCCACCACCACCCATCACCCTCACCCCAAATCCATCACCCACCACCTCCATCACCCCCACCACAAGTCCACCCCCACCCCCATCCATCACTTTCCCCCCCAGTCCATCACCCACCCAAACCATATCCACACTCTCACCACCAGGTCCATCACCCTCACCACCCCCCATCACCCCCACCACCCCCATCACCCTCCCCCACCAGACATCCCCTCCCCCCCCGTCCATCACCCTCCCCCTCCCTCCCCCTCAACAGACCTCACCTTCACCCCCAGTCCAACCCCAAAACCCCATGGGTCACCCCGCCACCTTTTTAATCACCCCCACCCCCAGCCATCACACTCCCACGAGTCCCACCCCATCACCAAAACCCTCACCCTCCCCACCATTCCCTCAAACTACAAAACCAATCCTACCACCCACCAGCCATCACCCCAATACCATCCTCACCCTCACCACCCCTCCCCCACCCCCACCTCCAGCCCTTTACCCCACCACCAGATCATCACCCTACCCCAGTACACACCCTCACCACCCCTCCCCCTTTACTCCACCCAAAACCTCACCCCGCAAGGGAAGTGAGAAGGGGGGGTATCTGAAGGGGGACAGATGGGCTTCCGGAAACACAGTCCTTTCCCCTCCCACCAGCCATCACACTCACCCCCATCCATCAC